GGAGGAGAAGGGATTGCGGCGTGACCATCCCCCCTGGGGAGTGATTTCTCGCTTTCTGTCTCTATGTCTCTCTCTGTCTGTCTGGCGAGTGCACACGCCCTACAGTGAAAATCTCTCCAATAAAAAAAAAGAAAGAAAGAAAGAAGAAATCCATGGTTCTCGGTGAAATAATTGGGACTTTTCAAATATTGTTGTACAGGGTTGGGATTAACTTGTGACAATAAGAAAATAGACAAGGCTATCAGACAGGGGAAAAGTCTTAACACAAGTTGCTTACATTTTCTTATATTGAAATTAAAACTTTAAAAAAAGGGGGGGGGCCAGCAGGTGGCACAGTGGCTGGACTCCCACATGGCTGGCCACAGTTCAAGTCCTGGACCCGGTGGCTTGAAAATCATGCCAGGCACATGTGCATGCATGCCCAAGATTCTGGGAAGAGAATGGAGGAGAAGGGATTGCAATGACCATCCACTCGAGGGGGTAGGGGAGATGTACTTTCCCCTCTCTGTCTCTCTTTCTTTCTAGAAACCATAATCTCTCTGTCTCTCTGGCATGCACACATATCTAATAGCAAAAACCTCTAAAAATATAAATAAATTTTAAAAAGAAAGAAGAAAAGGAAGGAAGGAAGAAAAGAAAGAAAGAAAGAAAGAAAGAAAGAAAGAAAGAAAGAAAGAAAGAAAGAAAGAAAGAAAGAAAGAAAGGAAGGAAGGAAGGAAGAAAGGAAGAAAGAAGAAAAAGAGACTAGGGGCTGAGTTATGTCGCTGGATTCCATTGAGTTGACTGCAGTTCAAGTGCTAGACTTGGTGGCTTGAAACACTCCAGATGCATGTATGTGAATGCCCAAGATCCTGAGAGTAAAAGGGATTGCAGTGTGGCCATTCCCTCACCTCCAGGGAAGAGGTGATTTCTCACTTTCCTCTCTCTGTCTCTCTTTCTCCCTGCAAGCACATGTACCCTATAGCAAAAATCTCTCTTAAAAAATAAAAAAGAAACTCTAAGAAATAACTAGAAGAATCATCCACAAGAAAATCAAAATATCCCCATTCCCCTACAATCCTTGTCATTTGTTTGGCCCCAGAATAGTTGACCCTTCTCTAGTGTCCCTCTCAAAGAATCTTCTCAGAGTCCTCTTTATGTCTTTATTCCTCAGACTGTAGATGAAGGGGTTCAGCATGGGGGTGACCACAGTGTACATCACCGAGGCTGCTGCACTTGAGTGTGGGCTGTGGGCAGCACCAGCACTAAAATACACACCCAGGCCTGTACAATAAAATAAGGAGACAACTGAGAGGTGAGAGGCACAGGTGGAAAATGCCTTGTACTTCCCCTGAGCTGATGGGATTGCACGAATGGAGGAAACTATCTTACAGTAAGAGTAAAAGATCCCAGCAAGAGGACTACCAGCCATCATCGCAACTGCAAAATACATCACCACGTCATTTAAAAAGGTGTCAGAGCAGGCAAGGTGGACCACCTGATTGAGTTCACAGAAAAAGTGGGGGATCTCCACCTGTGTGCAGAAGGACAGCCGTAATATCATTAAGCTATGTAACAAGGAATGTAAGACACACATGATCCAGGATATGAGAACAACTAACACACAAAGTTGGAGGTTCATGATGACCGTGTAGTGCAGGGGATGACAGATGGCCACAAATCGGTCATAGGCCATGGTGGTCAGGAGGAAGCTGTCCAACACTATGAAGAGTACAAAAAAGTTCATCTGAGTGATGCAGCCTGCATAGGTGATGACCTTGCTCTGTGTCTGGATGTTCACCAGCAGCTTTGGGACGGTGGTGGAGGTGAGACAGATGTCTACAAAGGACAGGTTGGAGAGGAAGAAGTACATGGGGGTGTGCAGGTGGGAGTCGGAGATGGTGGCCAGGATGATGAGCAGGTTTCCACACACGGTGATCAGGTACATGGAGAGGAAGAGCCCAAATAGGAGGGGCTGCAATTCTGGTTCTTCTGAAAACCCCAGTAGAAGGAATTCTGAACGGTGTGTATCATTCCCTGGTTCCATATGGTGGTGATTTCCATGAGTGAGAAAAATAATGTGATAAATTTCCATACAAACAGGTATTAGCACCATGGTGAAATATTACAAGTTATAGCGTGCAGTCAATAAAGTCATTTCTCAGTATTATTTATTGTTATTTCCAGAGTGGAGGAGCCCTTATAGAACCCTTCTGATGTTATGATGGATTAATCTTTAAAGGAAGCTGCTTTGTCTAAGCTGACAAAGAAAACAGTACTTCAGATGTATCACTGTTGCGTGTGTCTTCCAGGAAAGTTAGGTAATTCTGTAAGGAAAACATACATGCTTCTCTTTGTTCTGGATCTAATGCCTTTCACTTTCTACGATTATTCGATTTAAATTGAGCCTCTTTTTTTTTAACCACTGTTTATTTTTCCTAGGATGAAAGACATGTTAGGAATACAGGAGGTAACCTATGTTCTTGTAGGTGGTAAGTTTCTCTCTAAAGAAAGCAAAAAAAGGGGTCAGCAGGTGGCATGGTGGTTAAGGGTGCTGGATTCCCACATAGCCAACCATGGTTCGAGTCCCAGACCTGGCAACTTGCTTTCCCACTCTCTCTTTTACTCGGTTCCTCCCTGGTCAAATTAAAATAAATAAATAAAAATTAAAAATTTTTAAAAAAGAAAGCAAAAAAATTTTATTTGAAGGCTGGAAGGGATAAGCAAGGAAGTTATAAAGATAATTAAAATTAGATCACGAAAATCCTTCAATGTGCAATCGTTATGCATCAATTACAAATTTGTAGTATTTATCTTCTTCAGCATTGATGAATAGTAAAAGTTTTTCATTGATGTGTAAATGTACATAGAATGTATGCAAATCAGAAACCATAATTTTAAAAAAGAATAAAATTCCTTTTTTATTTTTTAGGTTTCTGCCACAGGCCTTGTACGCTTGCCAGAGAAAGACAGACAGAGACAGAGAAAGTGAGAAATCACCACCCACGGAAGATGGGTATGCCTCAATCCCTTCTCCATTCTCCTCTCAGGATTTTGTGCACACCCCACACACACTCCCTGCACAATTTGTAAGCACTCTAGTCCAGGACTCAAATCATGGTCAGCCATGCAGGACACCTGCTGATCCCATGAATAAAATTTTTTAGTAAATTAAAAATAAAAATCTTGGAAATAAAATAATATAACAAGAAGTCTTTTTAAATTCAATGAAGAGGGCCATTTAAAAATCTTTTTAAGTGCAGTGCTGGACTCCCACATGGCCAACCATGGTTTGAGTCCCAGACCTGG